TCTCTTCCTCTCTCTCCCTCCATTCCCCTCCCTTTAAAAAAATAAATATTAAAATAAAGAACCTGTTCTCCCTGCCAATATCTTGTCCTCGGTGGCGATATAGGACAGCTGCTTGCTTTCTGTAGGAGGAAGCTCCCGAATTTGCAGTTAGTGTTCATTGTCCTTATAATACCTCTGCCTCTTTGATGCCAGTCTACATGCCTCTGTACCTCCAGTCCCACCTAGAGGCGATGTTTCCTGCGTGATCTTTGACAAGTCGGTTGTCTTCTCTGTGCCTCAGCTGTGCACGGGGGAGTGAGGGGGAGTGAGGACAGAGCTGCAGAGGGTGACCTCAGGATCCTAGGCAGCCCTACCCTGTTAGGATTCCGTGGCTCCGAGGAGTAGTTTTCAGTGCTTTGTTGGGAACAGTTGAGTCACACCGGGATGGCAACGTTAAGATGAGGGTGGAGTAGAATCATATTTCCTGAAACAAGACTGGACTGAGGAGTGTGGATGAGGAATGCCGCGCGGGTGGAGTGGGAAAGCGTAATCAGTGCAGAGATGGTATACCCTCGGCCAACAGACAAGATTAGGCAAATTCCTGACGCTGGATGAGCGGTCAGCGGCCATGGGAAACATGACTCTTCCCTGAAGAGCCTCCTACCACCTGTTCGGCGGAAGCCTCAGAGTAGTGACGTGGATGGTTTGCACAGGCCCTGGGTGAGTCAGCGCTGACCGCTCGGGGGTGCTGACAAGCGTGGTAACAGAGACTGACAAGGTGAATGCTCGGCACTGTTAGGCTGATGGACGCTGGGACACATTCCAGAAGGCTTGCTATAGACACCTGGGAACACAATGTCTCCTAACGCTGGAACGCTCCCCTGCAAAGCCAGAAGGGAAAGGCTGGGCTGGGCTCTGAGGCAGGTGCTGGGGTCACAAGGCAGCTGCAGGCACCTCCGAGAACAGGACACCGGAAATCCCAGGAGATGAGCCAGTCCGAAGCAAAGAAGGATCACATCTTTGGAGTTTTCTTTCAAAAGTCAGAGCTCAGGTTTAGGGGAACATCCAATCTGATGAGAATTTTCCTGGACCGGCCTCTCACCAGAGAGAAGGCGTAGGGATCCCTTGGGTTGCCTGTGGTGACCTCCTGCTGAGCAGACTGGCAGCCCTTGGGGCACAGGAGGACCCCTTCCTCCTTTGACCAACCAGGGGCAGGTTTCCCAGGTTCTCTCCAATCAGGCTGGGTTTCCCAAGATCTCAGGTGATCTCAGATCTCTTAAGGCAGCCAGGGTCCGAGCACTGAAGACCCGGAGTGCCCTCGGATAGCAGGGAGCACGTCTTTCCCAGTTCCCACAGGTGTGAGAAACTTCACCGGAGGAGTTTTAAATACAAGCCTCATTATTTATGAAAGGCTGTTCACAACAGGTTCAAAAGATAAACTCATAGCATATCGAGTGATTCAAATGTGTCTTTCTGTTATGTTAAACACCCCCTCTCTCAGCCTTAGTTCTACTTCCCAGAATTAACCAATGTTGAAATGGCCCTGGTTGCAGGTGTTCTACACGAAGGAACTAACCCACATGTGTGCGCCTGTGCTTCTGGCCTCGTCACCCTCAGAAGTGTGAATTCAGCATGCTTCCCTGCATCTCAGCTCTCTGCATTGCACCTTCCTGTTCTTAGGGGTCCCATGAACATTTTAAGATCTTTAATTTTAAGGTGTTTAATGGCTACATGCATAACTTTCATATGTCTAAAGCCCTGTTTCTTGATTTTTCAGTTTCTAACATTATTGACCTGCTCCCTAGCCTTAAGATGAGGAAAGTAGATCACTGCCTATAACCCGGGCCCCTTCCTTTCCTCTTCCCAACTTGTCAGCTGACAAATACTGAATACCGTCATCGGGCTTGTAACCTTCGAACTCTGTTCTGTAATTTTAAGTTGGTGTTCTGAACTGTGTCTATGGTGTGACTTAAAAAATTAAAAACCAATAAGACATATTTGTAATATTGAGATTATATAGATAGCAATTTTGGAATCAAGTAAGGCCCATAGAGTTGGAAATAGGATTTTATGTTACCAAAAATAGGCATCCAAAGAATGACTGAAAAATGGATTCCCTTTACTTACGCTCGTTCTATTTTTCTAAGTCATGTCACATTTCACTTTGCTTCATCTTTTCATGACTTCTGAACACTTTTAACTCACCTTCATTCTAATGGATAGAATAGATGTATATGTTCCTTTTTACGTACATAAGATCTTTCAGATAACTGAACACATTTTTAAAAATCATTGTCCTTTAATCACTACCTCCTGTCTTCCCTGTTTTAATTTGGGCCAGTTGCTTTGTTGGCCTGTTTTGCAGCTAACCACTTGAAATTTCTTTTCATTTTTTTTCCTGAGGCAGTTTTTCTATTTGCTGGATTACTTTTCCTGCATCACATCCCAAGTCACACCAGGGAGAGGAAACAGGAGAAACTTTCTGAGTCACTAGATGAATTATTTTGCATTAATTCTTGAGCAACAGGTTGCTGGCTATAAAATTTAGGTTCAAAATTATTTTTCCTGAGAATTTTAAAGACTTGCTCCACTGTTTTCTATCCTCAATATTATTAATGCAAAGTGTGGTGACAATTTTATGCTTTTTATTTTTATTTTTTGCAGGTATCCTGTTAATTATCTCTGCAAGTTTTACACTCAGCATTTTCAAAGTTTTTAAAAAGATTTTATTTATTTTTAGAGAGAGAGAAAGGAAAAGAGAAACAGGACAGAAATATTGATTCGTGAGAGAAACATTGACTGATTGCCTCTCTATGCCCCCTACTGGGGACCTGGCCTGCAACCCAGGCACGTGCCCTGACTGGGAATTGAACCAACAACTTTTTAGTTTGCAAGACAATGCCCTACCCACTGAGCCACACCAGTCAGGACTACAATAGGAATTTTTTACTTTCAACTGAGTAGTTCTTGGCACATGGTGAAAATTTTCCATCTGAAAATCTTCTTTGTAATTCAGGAAAATTATCTTTTATTACTTATTTCATTATTCAGCTTTGTTCTATCATCTTGAATTAGTTACATATTAATAGCTTTCCAGATCTATCCTCCATTTCAACTTCTTTCTGGTAGTTTTCCTTTCTGTCATCCTCTACATTCTGAGTTATTTTCTCAACTTTATCTTCCGTATTACCAATTCAGTGTTCAGCCGTACCAATGACTCAATTCTATTAATTTTTAAAATGCCTTTGGGGAACCAGTGTTCGATATTTCAAGGGCTCTTTCACATCCCTTTCTTGCTCCTTTTCCATAGTAGTCTATTCTTCTGTGTGAACACCCATCCTTTCAAGTCTCTCTTAGCAGGCTAATTCAATTTTTAATGCCTTCTTTCTTTCTTGTGTCTGATCTCCCATGGTCAGTGGGTCTTTCACACATTTTGGCATTTCTCTTTACCAAATATTTGCTGATCCTTGACTGATCCCTCATGTTTTTTTATTGACAAAAAGAATTGTGTGTTTCCTATTTATGAAACAGTCTGGTAAACACCCATAGGCCCATCATCCTGCTTAGAAATAAAACTTTGTAAGTATAGTTGAAACTCCTGTGGTCTTCCCCGGATTGTCTTTCTTTTAGCTCTGAGCACAGCAAGGCAGAGGCCCAGCAGCCCCACAACTGTGGGGGTGCCCCCCAGAGAGGCTGTGTCCTGGTGCAGCGCAGACCTCACCAGTACCTTTAGCTGATGTTCGACCTGAGACATCTGGGAAGGCTGGGACAGGTGAGGTCTTGGAACTACATTCCGCCACTCGTGCGGGCTAGAAAAAATGAGGAAAAGTCCACCTGGGCTGCTAGGACATAATAGCCACTGCTCTTACCACCCGAGGAGTGGGAGAGCGTTGGCAAGGGAAGAGTGGCATTTGGTCATGTGTGCATTCCTCAGGCTGCCCTGTGAGCCCAGGAGGAGCTTCTGCAGGTCCAAGAGACAAGGAGTGGGGAAAGGGCGCCCAGAATGTCTGCCATCAGGAAGCAAGCCCTTCCCGAGGCAGGATCCAGAGTCTGGGGTGGGAAGTGACAAGAGCAGGGCTGGCGCCAAGTCCTGGGGGGGAATCTGCTGGGCAGGAAACAAGTGTGGCGGGAGATGGGTATCCGGGCTCAGGGAGCAAAGAGGTTCAGCTGACAGGGTTTGGAATCAAGATACAGCTTTTAGGTCTGAGAAACAAGGATGCACTTGAGACAGACCAATTGCAAGAATGAAGATGAAGATTCTTAGAGACTGGCACTGCTGAAATTCCTCCCTCTGGTACTCAGAATTGGTCTTAGGCTTAATTAATCAAGGCCAAGGGGCTTCAGCTGGGGAAGAGGGGCAGCGACAACAAGAGGGGAAAAGGAAAATAGAAGCTAGGGAGCAGATATGATCCAACACAATCTCTTGATATCAAGGGGACTTATATTTTTCAGCATTTGTGAACGGGCCAGGATATCCAAAACCCTCTTCAAAATTATAAAGATCAACCTGTCGCCCCTGCTGACCTCCCCCATAAACTATGAACAAATACCCCAGAGTTCCAGGAAGACCTTGTTCCATTCTGAAACTTGTTTTGAGCACCTGTTATGCGTCAGGCATTGTGTTAGGAACCGAGACTTCAGGGTGGATGAACACCTCCCTGGGCCATTCGCGATTCCGATCCTGTCGGGGGGGTCAGACGTGCAAACAGCCCACTTAAGGCAGGGTGGAAAGGGCTGTGCTGGAGGTGTCCCTGGGTTGCCTGGACAAGTGGAGCAGAGCAGAGAGAGGAGGGGAGAGGCACAGCGGGAGGGGCCCCAACATCATGAGTTCCACACGCCCACCTGGCTGCCCTGGAGCCCAGTCCAAGGCAGGTGTGAAGTGGCCAGAGACCATGGCTTTGGAGTCGGAGCCCTGATTCAGACCTCACTCTGCCTCACACCTCTTGTGTGATCTCAAGGATGCTATTTAATCTCCATAAACCTCAGTCTCCTCTGATCACCAGGACATCTAGGGAAAAAAGCACTAGAAATACCTTTATTACTTAGTATAAGTCCATACTTCTAACAGCATGAGGAGAAGGAAGAAGAAAGAGCAATTCAAAAGAAGGTATGCCATACTGGTTACTAAAATTGCTTCACATTTATCACTCTCCATAGGATTAGTAAATTGTAGGTCTCATTGGGTACACACTAAGAATTGGAACTGATGAGACTCCACAGGAGGAATGGGTCAGACTCTTCTTGTTCTAAGCTTTTTCCGAAAAGTAATAGTTATGTTATTTTTCTTTGTGCTTCTAGAGGTATATTAATTGGGAGTTACCATACATGCCGTCTCTGGCAAATTCCATGCTGCATTTATCATTGACATTCACGGTCCAATTGCATAATGAGGTGCAGTCGATTCACAGTTAGCCATGCTGCTGGCTGATGGACAAAGACCCTCTTGGCAATCTCCCCAAAGGTAGGAAATTATGGTGATTTGTTTCTCTTTGGCTTTGTAGATTTTTTTTAACCATCCATGTACAAATGAAAAAAAGACTGATTATCTGTGAATTTCCAAGAATCCGATCAAAATGATTTTTTAAAACCCTGTGAAGACACAGCACAGGAGGAGCCTGACAACTCTTTGGCTTCCTTTTTGTGTCTTCCTCTGCAGAAGTGTTCTCTTCTTTGCCTTCACCTTGAAAGTAGACATCTCTTCACCAGCGGTAAAAATGCTAACTACTGAGGATAAGCTAGAGAGAAGCTCCTGCCGGGGTGAGACCTGGCTGGAATTGATGCCAGTATATCCGTTGGCTACATTGGACCACTGACTGTAGCCAGGCATTGACCATGACAATTCTCCACTGGCCAAGGTCAGTGTTTAACAGTGACCGTTTTGATTTCAGTGAAGAAGTCATAAGAGTCCTTGGCTCCCTCTCTGCCTATTCCAGAACCCTTCATCCCCCCGAAAGGAAGGTTCAGCTCTCTGATGAGCCAGCAGTTGGTCCAGACCAAGCCTGACTGCAACTTCTTAGCCACCCGATGGGCACACCCCACGTTGCTTGACCACACTGTCGCTGCCAGCCCATATTTAACACTGTTGGCTCTTTCAATCACTTCCTCTTCACTCTCAAAGGGGACAACACATGTCACTGGACCAAATATCTCTTCCTTCATGCAGCATGATTCATCCTTAATGTCTGTTATCACGGTGGGAAGCATAAAATAGCCTCCCCGATTCCCCAGGGGGAGACTCAATGTATCCACTCCCTCACCGCACAGAATGCGGGCCCCTTCCGCACGAGCTCTCTCGACGTAACTTCTGACCTGGGTGGGTAAAAAACGAATGCCATTAGCAACATCTTACCGTTTATCTTCACACAAAGCAACAAAAAATTCAATATTTGCAAATCAACCAGGAAAGATGTGTGAGGTCATTGCCGAGAAATGTAAGGTTATCTTATCACTTGGCTGCTCAGACTGAGGGGCAGAAGAGCGCTAAGCATCACTTGGGCATTCGGCCCTTGTATGGAAAAGGAGCGAGCAGTTCATTTAATGTCTAGGTACCAGTCACTCAGGTAAATGCTTTTTATGTAGTTTCACTGAATTCTCTCAAAAGCCTATTAGCCAGGTACTATTATCCCCCCACTTGCTGATGATATCGTTGAGCCTCAGAGAGGGTAAACATTTCACAAAACTTATACACAGGAAAACTAGAATTCACACTCAGGCATATTCAGTAGTTAAATACACAAAAGAATATTTTCTCTCTCTTTGAGGGGCTATGTCCTTTGCAGAAAGTGTGAAGTTGAATGGTGTATAAGATTTAATTAAAGGTCAGGATGCCCTTCAAATATCTGAGGTTCCAGAACAAGTAATTTCTAATTTCTAGTCTCATTACTGATAGGTAATATAGCATAGCTAACTATAATGGGAAGTAAATTAGGCAATAAGTTAACCCAGTGACTCAGAGACAATGACAGATATTTATTAAAAATGGTTATGGGAATGACTCATTATAATAATGATATATATACATTTATACATGAAAATGTTGTCTAAGTCACAGTGACAGGTGATGCTACCTCTGAGTGGTGTTGTAAGGATGGGAGAAATAAAAAACATCCCCAAAATTAAAAATATAGAACAAGAGTCAAGTAGTATACCAAAGGCAAGGTAAATTTTGAAGTGCACTTTGGATTCCTACTTATCTTTTATTGTCTGAGGATTCTGCCCCAGTATTAAATTAGTACTCCATCGTAGAACTATATTCAACACAGAGCTACATGTTTGACATGTAAATGTAAAAAAGGTCATGTTATTTATTATTAAATTTGCTTCAATTTGCAGACGACTTAATAAGCCATGAAGTCAGACTCTTTAAAAACAGAACATTTGGTCCAGCTCTGTGTGCCTGTCTGCCCCACCCCCGCCCCAACACACACAGCGATCTCAAAGCCTCCCAGAAGAGCCCAGGCTGGCGTGTGGGTAGAGATTCAAATAGATTTGGACTTCTCTTTTGCCCTACTCTCTTCCTCCTCTTGAAGCAACCCACCCCCATTAAATTAAAAACGCCCAAAGCAGCATCCTGGACAAAGGAAGTCTGGGAGCGGCTCCCTCCGGGACACTGGTCGCAGTTCCAGCAGTGCCAGGAGTGTTCCAGCGTTACATTATCACACGACTATCTCTAGACACTCTTGGGATCATCGTCTATGAACAGAAGTGTCCGTTTCAAATGGTGAATTTATCAAAATATCTGATGTATAAGGTGACTCTTACTGAATTAAATTCACTTTCCAGAGAAGGTATCGCTGAAGCATAGAATGCTCTCTACACTAGCAGCAGCTTAGGAACTGAGATTTTCAGTAAAACCTGAAAAAAAAAAAACCCTCATGAGTGGTAACATGCTGCACCAGGTAATGAATTACTATTATAAAACTTTTTTGGAGCAGAGAATAATTAGTACTTAGTAGCCCAGCTGTGTTCAAATCACTCATTAGCTAAGAGATTTTCAGTGCCGTATGCCTCGGTTTCATCATCTGAAAAATAGGGTTAGCACTGTCACCCATTCACAGGACTAAATAAGCCATATAAAACGTTTAGCATAATACCTGGCATATAGTAAGCCTTTTGAATGTCAGCAGCTGTTATTGCTGTAGATGAAGATGATAATATAATGCATGATCTGACACTTACGAGCTGAGACTTCAGAGGTGCCCTCCACTCTGCGTGTCAACTTGTTTAGCTGACAAAGGAGACAGGAAACTGCAGGAGTGGACGGTAAAGCCTGGTCCTCCTGGGGGAAGCACCTGTGAACTTCCTCCAGGCTTCCTCCAGGCTCACTGCAAACACTCAAGAACTCTATCTCACTATCTCACTTACATCTATGGGAAGGCAGGCATACAGCCAGGTTCTCTAGACAACCAAGTGGGGAAGGATTCAGGAGAGTAAAAAGAAAAACAAAAAGCAACTCTCTGAAATAGGCCAGGGTGGCTTTCCTTCATTCCTTGAGGACAGAGTCACCTGCAATTTTCTGTGCATCTCCTGCAGTCACACAGAAGCTGGGAAATGACGTGCCCACTTAGGAGCCTGCTATATCTCTGAATTCCTGAGCCCTTTGCCATCACAAACCAACATTTATGTATTCTACTGGGATTCCTCTGTCACTGCATCATCAGCTAGCATGACAATCACACAGAAGTAGGATGGACACAAAGACCCCAGACTCCATAGGGCTAGTGTGATTTGGAGAAAACACAGATGCACTGTGGAAGAGGAGACAAGGAATGCAACAATGGCAGATGGCACACAGCCCCCAAAGCTTCCCTGAGATAGACAAGGAAAGCTATCCCCTGCCTCCTTGATCCCAGATGGTTTGGCAGACTGAACTGAAAAGAGCTATGGTCTGAAAAGGCCAAGATGAGGGAATGAGGGGGAAACCAGGCTCTCCCTCATACCTTAGCCTGGACTAAGATGAAAACTAGCTGGCTTGGCGAAACCCACATGGGGAGCTGGGTTGAGGCAGAAGGAGACGGGCCTGGAGTTGGGGCTATATAGAGCATTCAGTGGTGCATCTTCCTGTCTGTGCACAGGCACTAAGGGGATACGCACGTGCTAAAGGGGGCCTCAGCTTCCTCCTGCCCTCAATATGGTCTGCAGCAGGTGGTCTTCAGGATCCACCAGGACACCCCATGTATGCCCAGGGATCACTGTCATTAGACTCTAGCCACCAACTTACTAAAAAGAAGGTAATTTGGGTCTTCATGGTAGAGTCACTCAAAGATGCTAAGTTTAAGATATATATTTTACTCTGGAAACAAAATTTGGAAATTTTATACTATAATATTTTGATACTGCAACTTAGTAAGTCCTCCGTGTCCATGTTAGAGGTAATTAAAACTACTGGGAATCACCAAGACAAAACAAAAGTTTGATAATTTGGAGGAATATGTTCTTTTCAACTAAAATGTGTTGTAACTGAAATATTTTGGTACCTTTTTATAAGTTGGTTTTTGAGAAAATAAGAACATTGGCAGGGAAGAATGTGGACCTACAGATAATGTTCCACTTGATGTTTTTTAGTAATGCTGTAAAAATCTCTAATGAACTTAGAAAATAAGTTGATCATATTTTTGAAATTCCTTTTTTTCCAGAGAATTAAAAAATGTTTCTTCTAGTCTCGATGTGATTTCTTGTAATTCAGTAGTTGTAGGACTTCCATGCAGCTCTATTTCTGGCAGTTCTGAACAATGGTCATTCTGTAGTTTAGTTGTAATTTTGATGTGGTTGTGTGAGGAGGCAAGCCATGTGTACCTATGCCGCCATCTTGAATGGAAGTCTCTATTTTTTGAAATTCTTAGTTGGCATTTAAGAAGTTGGATTTTTATAATATTGAGATATTGAACACCAAATATTTTCCCAAAGATTTTTATGAAACTAGAATTCAATTCTAAAGCTGTCTGTGAAATAAACTGAAATAACCAATGGAAAGAGTTAAAGGAGAGTCTTAAGCAAAACCTCAGAGACTTGTATGTGTTTACATGGACTTTTCTTTGTTATTATAAATTAATGATCAGTGAAACTAGTTTCTCCCTGCTTGTGTTCAAGAGGTCAAAGAAAATGGAATCCTTTTTCCAAAACAGAAGTTTGGGGATTATACTGTAACTAGAACACAGGATGGAGAGTTAGTTTAATCATTTGTCAAACAAACACTATGCACCTTTTGTTTGGGCTACTTTTTTAGAATCTAAGGATTTTGTAGTGAATAAAACTGACAATGAAGCTAGCATTCTAGCCAAGGAAATACAGCCAATAAAGGAATAAATAATATATAGTATATATCAAGTGCTAGCCAGAGTCATGGAGAAAAATAAAGCAGCAAAGAGACAGAGGAAGTTCTGGGGAGTGTGATTTTATATAGGTGAGCAGGCAAGCACTGATTTGGGTGATAACATTTGATCTAAGGAGAGAACCAAGCAAACCTCTGAAGGAAGAATATTCCAGAGGGTGTGGACAATAAGAGCAAAGGCCAAAAGGAAGGAGTGGGCCAATATTTTTGAGGAAGACTAGGGAGGCCAGCATGCAGCAGTGGACTGAGGGAGGGCAAGGGTGACAGAGGCAACAGGGGACAGAGGTTACCAGGAGACAGTCTCCTGGGTCATTCTAAAGACTCAGGCTTGACTGTGAGCAAGATGAGGGTCATACAGATGTATTGAATAACTATGATACTAAAGCAAGGGTTAAAAGGTAAGTTGGCTAATCTGGAAATATCAGCATAGACACAGGACTGTCTCAAAAGGACAGTGAGTGAGCTCAGCACAGCCAGGTTTTAAGTGTCCTCCTCCAAAAGCCATTGTCATCATGGGACATCTAATGGGCACCCACAGGGCCAGATGCTGGCCTTGATTATCCTTCCCCATTAAAAGGAACCAGGGCTCAGTAGAGCGTGGTCCCATTGCCCATGTGGGGAAGAGCAAGTCAGGTGGCTGAGGCTGCTTATTGTCAGCGAGCAGAGAGGCCTGCAGAGGGCCTTGGGTGGAGCTCAGGAGGACAGGGAGGCAGGCTAAAAGGGAGGGCCCCCATGGGCAAGTAGGGTCATGCTGAGCATCAAAACTATGACATGAAAGCCCACAGAAAAATCAAATATTTTTATTTGCTTCACTGATCTATCTCCGTCACTGGGTCAATTAAATAGTGATTGTGGCCTACGACAGAAAAAATTAGTTTCTTCATTGATTGGATGTAAAGAGAACTTGGAACCTCAGGTCAGTAGTGAATTGCAAAGGAGACTTCAGACTGCAGCATACCCCAAGTCTACTGCGAGAAGCTCCTGGAAGGAGCTTTGTTGCACAGGAAGCATTCAGCACATGCTTACGCTGTTTTCACCAGTTATTTGCAGGTGAGGGTGGGCAGGCACGGAGGCCTGGGGTCCAGAGCAGTCAGACAAGAGTGGACAAAGGGGCCTCTGGCGTCTGGTGATTCCTCGTTCCGTGACAACTATAGGTCCCAGGTGCACTCTGGGGACTGCTGTCTATACACCTGTGATCTTGCAGGTGAATTTGACTGGAGGGAGACACAGCCGTACTGGCCAGCCTCACTTTAAATAAGTGACCACAAGCCTCAGTGAGCCCTTGGAGCTGCCCTGTTGACAACACAGTCATTTCCAAGTCCGTTCTCTCTCGTGACCTCCTGCCAGATTATTTCACAGGTTCTCCTCCCTCCTGAAACCTCCAGCATCTTCTCCCCTCCTCACCTGCTTCACTGAGAAAACAGGGGAAAGAAGAAGACACCATCAAGCCACATTACCTTCCCACCTATGAGCATCCATGCTTCACAATACTGTAAAGGTCAAAGTTACAATGTGGTGAGTCTGCCAAATCGGTGCGGTGTTGGGGCTGTCTACAAACTTACGTAAAAGCTCTGCCCCTTCCTGGCTGACTGGTGGATGCATATTCTCCTTGGTGAGCCTTTATTGCTGCAGTTGGAGACAAGACCCTTCTAGTACCCAAATCTGTGACTCACTTTGGGAGGAGCCACAATGGGTAATGAGATGACCTGAGAGATCTAAATTGCATATGTCACCCAAAGGCCATCAGTGGCTTCTCCCACATCACACTCCACTAAGGAAAGACCACACAATTTGGAGTGTGTGCCCTGGCACTTATGGAATGCCGTCTGCTATAAGCCAGAGGCAGACCCTTTTCCTCTGGGAACATTTACTGATGGAAATTCTTGCCACCCTTAATCCCCATCATTTATGCTTTGAAAGTTTTCGTTCTCACTCTTCTGGTGGTATGCTCGTGCTGACTTTTCAAGAGCATTAGTTTCCCTCAGAGCTGCTTTAAATCTGGACGATTCACAACCAACAGTTTTAGATTCTGTACCCAGAGACAATTCCCCGCAGATCATAATTGTTCAAAAACAAGGTAGTAGCTGACCATACTTCAAAGCACAGACATGTGCTGTGCTTGTGCAGAGCGTCTCCCCAAGCAAGAACCCTTCTGTAGCGGACATGGCAGAGACGCACTTACCTTCTCCAAATGAGTTTTACTTATCAGGGCGCCCATGCTGGCCGACGGGTCGGAGGGAATGCCGACTTTCCACATTCTGGTAGCTGCTACAAACCTCTTTAAAAACTCACTATAGATCCTCTTCTGGACAAAGATCCTGCTGGTGCAGAGGCAGATTTCACCCTGCCGAGAATGACACAGGAGGACAAGGAGGGGGCTGGAGGACATGCTCCTCCATGGGCAGGTCATGCTGCACCCTGAGTGCCTGTGGGCATGTGTGTGAATTCCTAAGCCACTTGCTGTAGGAACTTCTGGGAGAAAAATAATTACCATCATAATGATTGTGAAAAAGCCATCAATGGCTTAAGCCAGCAAAATTATTGTAAGGAATGTTTTTCATTCTAGACTCACAAAAACCCTATTGGAGGACATTATTAGTGCCATTTCCATAATTTACTGGCAAAGAAATAAAGTTTCAAAAGGCTATGCAATTATGCGAGTTGGGTTAAATGAAGACACATCTCATTCCACCCATCTTTCCTTCTGTGGAAGTTCTAACTCTTTGGCTTAAGTTTTTGTTTTTTGATACAAATTTAGAAAACACACCCTTTGGAGAAAGTCATTTGGGTCTACGCACACCTGCTCCATCCTCGGCTCTGTCCTGGGGGCTGAGGCTAATGAGCTGCACAGGTGCAGGTGTAGTGGCCACCTGCAGGACACATGCAGGACACCTGCAGGCTACGCCATCCGATCTCACATCCTTCACCCTTTGGGATGCTATGGCCTTGAAGACTCTGATGAGGACTATGGACCCCAGGAAAACATCTGCTACAGTTTCAGGGGATGCAAAGTTGCCCTGAAGTTCACCCATGACTCTAAGGTAAGAAACCAGCTCTAGACCAGTTCCAGTACTTACTTGTGTGTTTGGGAATGCATTTGGGTTGCTCTGGGGAAGAGAATAAGGTTTCCTGGAAGTAGGACATCTAGACAGCAGGAAGAGCCTAGGGGCAACTCTATGAATACAAGGCTGGAGTAGCAAAAATCAATCATTTTGCCCATGGCAGCTCCCTGAGAAAACTTGTGTAACTCAAGAAAAGGAGCTCGCTGAACAGAAGCTGTGACCCTACGAAGCCACAGAGGGACACTGAGGTTGAACAGATGGAATAACGCAAATTTAGTGACTCTCCTTCCACTGAAACAGAACTGGATTGACTCACTCACTCCTGGCTTTGCACTGTGCTACACAGACCCTGCTCGATGGGGCGGCAGAGTTGAAACAAACAATGAACAAACAAACAACAACCCAGAGAACATACCTGGTTGGCAAAGCTGGACCTGACGGTGGTGGGAACACACTCTTCCAGGTTGGCATCCTCAAAGATGATGGCGGGGTTCTTGCCCCCCAGCTCCAGGGAGAGCTTCTTGCAGTGGGGAGCACTCAGCTGTATGATCCGCTCAGCGGTGGGCTGGCTCCCGGTAAAGGAGATGAGGGGCACCTCCGGGTGGGACACCAGGGCCTCGCCCACCTTGGCCCCTGTTCCAAACACAATGTTGACCACACCTGGTGGCACACCTGGATGGGAAACAATATCCATCGAAGAAAGTCGTCTCAGTACGTCGAGGACTTCAGGTTACATGGAGATACTCTTTGAAAGTCTAATAGCTGGGAGTGAACTCTTATGGCTACCCCTGGTTTACTAGTAAAGTAAGAACAACAGCATCACCTCTGCCCAGCACACACCTAGGCGGAATTTCTCCGGGTGCTTTGCCCTACAAGGTGCAGGGTACAGTACAACACTCTGCACTGTTCATCCCATAAAACTGACTAGGCCTCTCAGGGGCTGAGGATGCAGAGACATCCCCAGGTGAGTCAAGCCCTGTGAGGGAAGAGAGCCCTGCTTCAAGTAGGCATCAGGAGTCACCATTCAGCGTGAAAGTGTCAGCAGAGGGGAATGAAAGTGCTGCAAGATCCAGGGAAGAGATTGACTATCTTGGCCCAGGGAGTGAAGGAGGGGTCCCACCTGGGGAGGCAAGTTTTGAGCTGAAGGGCCTGTACCCCATGGTAGAGATGCACCATTACACCCTAGGACTGACTTAAAGCACCAAGAACCCCCATAAATAGATGCCTCAGTCTTTCCTATTGTCAGGCCCTAATCCCCGCATCTCAGGAATGTATGTACTTTATGCAGTTTTTGGTGTTACCTGTGTATTACCGATCTACCACTAGGAGGGAAGGGTGGAAACAGCATCTGTCAGGGTGGGGGATGGGGGGTTCTGCTCTCCATTGCATGTGATCCTGCGTGCAGCCTGGTCTGCCACACAGAATGAACCCCAGTGAGTGCTGACTCACACTCTCGGGGTGCTGACTGCGGCTCAGTCCTTGCTGTGCGTGGTTTACCCCACCAGACCTGCCGACACCTTCATCAGGTAGGTACTACAAATATCCTCGCTTTTTCCATGAGAAAACTGGGGCCCAGTGAAGTTGAGTAACAACCAGTAAGAGGCAACACTGAGTGTAGAAGGCCAAGAAAGAATTGTTAAGTAAATGGATGAATTTACTTAGTGTACTTTATGCAAATTAGAAATGGTTTTTCACTTTGAAAAACTTCAAATGTCCAGAAAAAAAAAAAACTATGAGCAATTTGTGTTGTGTCTTGAACATTCTTAGGGTTGGCCTGGAGGTGGCTGAGTTTATGCCCTTGGTGTCCTGGGCTTGAGGTAGAGCAGGGGCAGAAACCATTCCCACCCCACCCCCACCCTGCCCCCACCCTGCCCCCGCCCTGCCCCCGACACTGCCCTACACGGGAGGGTTTTCAACTACTTGCCCCTCCTAGTATTTGTCCTTTGCTCCAGGTCAGGCACTCTCCCTCTTGGAGTAAAACATTCTCTCCAACAATGTGCTTTTCAAGTATAAATAATACTTTTACATTGGTGACCCATTATCATCCAGAACACCTGCTCACAGAGTCACAGCCTTGGCCCGATCACCTTGAGGGTTCAGCCGAAGCCCGTTCAGGTGCGCCCCCAAGGAGATGGGGGGAAGCTTCAGGGAATCATGATGACATCTGCAGAGCCTCACTTCCAGCGACGCCACCTCTACACCCAGTGTGCGCCCTTGTTGATATCTAGCTCAGGTCGGACTTCTGGACCAGACGGCACTGCCAGCTGAGGGCCCGCCCAGAGCCAGGTACCAGGGGCAAGAAGCTGGGCCCGGGGGTGGGGCAAAGAAGGCGCTAGGCGAGAGGTTCTCCCCCTGGCTGATGGGAGGAAAACAAGAACAAGTTTCCCACCATTGGCAAGTTGGGGCCCTGCATCTCCATCAAATATCAGGCATGTGGATGTTTGTCAGATATTGGGATGCGGGGGTGGGGTGCACAGTGGGCACCAGGAGGTGGACTCTTCGGTGTTATAAACCCTGAAGGCAAAAGATAGAATGAATCACTGGTAACATTTACAGTAGCATTGTAACCAAGGGAGAGAGGAAACATGGAAACACCTCATATCATCACCCCAGGATAACGAGCTGGTTTCGGCGGGCACATTTTGATTATGCGTTCTTGAGCTCCAGTGTTAAAGCTATCTATTGGCCAGTGTTTCTCAGTACTGTGTTGCCAGTTGACCAAGACATTAATGACATTTTTAAAAGGGATATCTGAGCTCTACTCTTAAGAGATTCCATTTATAAGAGGAGGAAGGCAATTTAGTGGGCAAATAACAACTGGGAAAACTCAGAACAGGTGCTGACAGACAGGAAGGGAACAGAGCCCCTCCAAAGCTAGGATGCAGCCGGGTGACAAGAAGATGCTGAAGCTTAAATAGATCAGAACAAAAACCAATAGGGAGGACCCAGAAAACCTAATCTGTCGACACTCCAGAAATGAGGGCAAACATTGGTGCCCCCAAGAAAAAAAATGAATATTCTAGGACTCCTAAAGAGGTATTCACTGAACACTTTTTAAAATTGTTTGATTTCAAAGGAAGGTCATCCCTCGAGGCTGTTTGGACATGTGGCACTTGGGGGAGCCAGTTCTGGAAACACCCTGAATGTCCCGGGAGGTGACCTCAGCTTTCTCCTGCCTGCACTATTAGAGGTTTCTCTCCCAGTGCTCTAAAGCAGGATTGTGTAGCTGTGATTCACACCTCCTCCAAACCCCGGGGAGAGAAATGGAGGGCTCACACAGGTGCAAGCCAGGCATCCCCTTCTCAATGTTTTCGTTAAAGGAGGGAAGCGTAGCAAAGCCGGCCTGGGGTCGGAGGGCAGGAGGGACCGTCTTGGTATCATAAGTTTAGTGGCTTGTAAGAAATAAGAGCAATGCCGTGCAGTGCAAACAGATGGAAACATAAAGTTCTCACCCAGGCCAGGCTCTGGACCCTGTGACCAGGGAGAGAGGTTGGGGAAGAGACGTCATCCTCAGGGAGAGGTGGTTGAGTTCAGAAGACAGTGGTGTCTAGAACGCAGCTGGGCAGCGCCTTCCCACCTGCAGGTCGCCCTCCCCGGTGCGGATCAAAGCAGAGTTTGGGCCCCCCTCCTGTCTCATGCAAGGGAATCCACTTACAGTCACAAGACAGGGAGGAAATGCCTCGGATCTTTGCAGACACTACAGACTCAGTTTTGCAAAGCCTGGGATTAAAGCATGATCCCTTGTGCAAGGGAGGGATGACACAGTCTGGAACAGAGAGAGGGAGGCACATTCCTGTCGGACACCCCGAAGAGGCTGGGGCATCCACAGGTGTAACCCCCAAAGGAGGGAGGCTCCCTTCCCCCAGAGGGCACAAGGGAAATGGGCAGCCACACCAGGACCACGAGGCCCGGTGCTCTTCCTGAAACAGGATGGTGTAATCTGCCATCGAAATCTTAAAGAACTGGCTCAAATTTTCTGGAAGGCTCTGTGTATGCTTTTGCTTTGAGAGAAAAGGTATCCAGTAGACACAGAAAGAGAGATGGGCTCTTCCCAAATGCCCACTCAGTGGACACGGGCAGGGGGCAGCAGTGTCTTCCCGTGGGCTTGAAGGAAGGGGGCACAGCAGAGACCAACAGAACGGGCAAGACAGCCCCTCCCCACCCCACCCCCATCCTTTCTACCCAAGCTGTGGAAATAAGAGCTGAGGGCCCCAACAGGGAGGGCCTTTCTCCTGGGGTACAGGACAGGCTTCCTGCTCCCCTCTTCCAACTCTGGGGCAGCGCCAGGCTGAACACCCCAGAATGAAACCAGGAACACATGCTGAACGCGGCCATTACAACAGTATCAGAAAGAGGACAAGAAGCCAGATTATATCAGCGGCTGAGTGGTGATTCCAAATGCAGGGAAAACTGAGGAATGTACTTCAAATCCCTTGAAAACGGGCTCTTTCTATCAGGTATTCTACAGCCATACAAAGAGTACCTAGTAACATCCTTATTTTCAGCAAGGATGAACTTGTGGTTCCAACATAAGATTTAAACTGACCATCACCGACGCCCTCTGGAGCAGGCTGCTGACTGGTTTAATGGGCTCCTTAAGCCTGGGCGGTGTTCCTATCCCGTGCTCGTTGCGCCAGCGACCCCTGCAGGGAGGAACGGTCCTGCAGCGGCACATCCGGCAGTTAAATGGAGGAAGCCCCCTGAGCAAACCCCATGGATGAAGGGGGTTTCTCAGAAAAGGAACCGCAAGATAAAAACCAAAGATGTCAGTGGAATCTGTTTTGCTGCTGAACAGATTTTTTTCCGAAATAACTTTTCACATGTCAGTGACCCTTGGGGAAGGAGGGGAGGGGAGGGGTGAAGCGTACGAAATGCAGAGTCCCACCGCTGGTCATCAGTGAGGCTCGAACACCCTATTACCTGCTTTCTCCAGGAGCTTGCACATCATCCACGCGGTCACTGAAGTCAACTCGCTGGGCTTGGCTATCACCGTGTTGCCGGCAGCGATCGCCGGAGCGATCTTCCAGGTCAGCAAGTAGAGCGGCAAGTTCCAGGGACTGATCAGCCCAGCTGCAGAAAGCAGAGGCAGTGCCCATGGTCACTCGGCCCGCAAAGAGGACCAGCCCGATGGGGTTTACTAACCGGGACCTTCCTGCTGAATGAAACTTCAGCTCCTAAAACCCCAAACTTTGCTTATTTGTTGCCAACCTCTGGGAAATCACTAAAATGTATCACAGACAACTGTGTCCTTTAAAACTATCATGACTGACAATTATATTTATGAACAACAGTAAGTTTCAGGGCTCAATGGCTGTCACTTGTCACTGAACATTTCCACAAAGTGGCAAGTTTTGACATTTCTGGACTGATCTTCACATGTGAGTGGGCCTCTCCATCCTCATCTGTAAACTGTGCAGCTACCATTTCTCCAAAGCTTCTTCATCTCTGTTTCTAATCTGTTATGGATTGAGACATAAAATCTCAAGCTTTTAAAAATCTGTTGTAAAATAAGAGCAAATGCATTCTGAGACAGTGAAATCCATAGCCAGAGTATTTTTGCATAGAAAAAATCTCTCCAGGTTCTCACCTGCATTCTGATCAGCCAGGCTTTCTGGATAAGAAGCAGAGACAGCCACTAGCACACGCCTCCCTGTAATAGCATGAAAGTGTCCAGCCTCCCAACCATGAAACACTGGTAAAAATGAAAGCTGCCTTATAAATAAGTAAATGGATGCACCTTATTTTATAATCTGCCTTCAATACTGTCCTATAAAGGTAAATATATTTTATATTATTAAATTTCCCATTGAAAAATCTTTTCTTTAGGGGGTAACAATATTTTTGCGCCATTATAATATATCAGCATACTTCTGGGGAGGATATCTGAGTTTTTTATAATGCCTTTAAAATACCATTTCTGAAGGGCTCCAATAATCAAAGTGAAGAAATGTCCCATTTTTTTTCCTTTTAATTTATATTTGTTCACCCCATCATAAAATGTAATTAGTAAAGTATGTGTAGTTGGAGTTTTTTTAGTGGAAACAGTGGCATCTACTGGATATTTGGAGTCATTGCAGATATGTATGGGTCCTCTAAGGGCAGGAAGCAAAGAACTGAAGGAGGAAAGTATACAATTCAGCCAAGGCTTATTTACCACATTCCTGGAGCTGTTATACCTATTCTACACTTATTAACTTGTTTGATTTGTATAAAAATATAAAAAGACAGAATGAGACCATCCTCCCCATTTTTCAGATGAGAATACTGAAGCACACAAAGGTTGTGTCCCTTGCCCCCACATACCCAGAAGCCATGCTCTTCACCACAACACTCTCTAGAAGTAGACTTTGCACTTTTAGTTGTGAAGGGAAAATACTGGCTTGTGAATTTAGTCTCAGCACCATTCTTTTCCCTGTTATCTCCTAAGGACAATCTTCCGGGAATAAGCAGGGAATTTCACACAAAGAAAATAAACTAGAAATCGATTTTTAAGGCCTATAATGTGTCAGTCAAAGTAGAAGAAATCAGCTCCTTCCTTTTCCTCAGCCTGTTCCTGGAGATAAATTCTATGGAGCTGACTGAGCACGTCTGTGTGCACCCATGGTCCAGTCTTCCGCAGAGCGGCACCTACCGATCCCCACGGGGGTCCGCACGGTGTAGTGCAGACAGCCCACGTTGTCCATCTGGGTGCACTCTGACGTGTGGTGCAGGATGGAGGAGGCAAAGAACCGCAAGTTCTGAACAGACCGGGGAATGTCCATGGCTCTTGCCAGCGCTACGGTTTTCCCTGTAAGAAGTCAACAAAAAAAAGCACGGTCAGCAGATTTCCCCATGGACAGTGGAGACACTATCATGCAGAAGTCACCCCCGGTCCTTCCAGCCAGGGACGGACATTCATTGAATAGACAAAGCATAGATCATACGTTGATAAGACCATGCAACAATTAGATACGAGGTTATAAGATGAGGTGGGGGTGGTTAAAGTTGAGCCAAATGATGTTTGCTTTATGGACTGAGCAATTCAGAGCCATCCTCACGAACTTGCCAGATGCTGCCACTTCACCCACACCAGCTCTGTCGTTTCAGAGTCGAGAGCTTTGCACATGCTACAGAGGGGTTGGAACCATGGGTGTAAAGACAGCTGTCTTTGCACACCACAGAAAACCACTTTGATAAACACGTGATGTGTACTAAATGTCCCCCAACACACGGCGGAGTCGTTAAGACAGACGCGTGGCAGAACAGCAACGGGGACCCCTGGCATGGGACGCTGTGTGGCACTTGGTCACCCATCATGTGGCTCCCACACATCTAGCCCCTGGACTGAACAAAAGAAAACCCTAAGCTGACCTGGCTTGTTACTTAGTAACCCTGAGCGAGGCAGGGACACTGCAGTGTCAGCAGCTCCGCAGTAACCATTCCTTCTTGAATGCTGGGGCAGGGCTGCGGTGGGGGCCTGGAGTCCAGGCTGTGTGCCTAACCCTACACTGGTTTACAGCAGGTGTACAATTTCAAACAATCTGGGCTTTTCTTAACAGATATTATTGCAAGGATTTACAGACATTTACTCCATTACCCTCACTTCTGGGAAAGAGTTTTGAAAAACTGGGAAATGGTGTCGGAAGTAGAATGGTGGTATCTCAGACATCTTTCTGAGTAATGTGGCTGTGCAACTGCTCTTCAAATGATCTCTGCGTTGAAATTCTCTACTTAAGAGTTGGTGGAAGATGCATGATCAACCCTAGTTCCTCCTCCCTCCACAGATCCATGCCCTTAGACATACATCTTTGCAGTTCCTTCCACTGAACAGAGTGTATTTATTTCCCTGACCCTTGGACTTGGTTTGGGCGGTGACTCGCTTTGGCCGCTCAGCCTGCAGAGGCCTTGGGTAGCTTGGTGTCCATGTCTCCTTCTAACGGAGAAGCACGCCGGCTTCCTGGCGGTCGCGGCAGGGGTAATGTGAAGTAGGTGCCCAGTCCCTTGCGTTACAGTTAAGAGGAGAGAGATCATCTGACAAACCGGAAGGAGGGAATGAATCCCAGCATCTGCACGATGGATTGTACTTTCCATAAAGCATTCAGTAAGAGACAGCTGCATGCGGCCACCTGGCTCTGCTAGAGAGAGGTCCCGGAAGACAGAAGAGGCAGAGCAGAGACAGCTCTGCAGACGCGCAGGCTCTCACCTTGGTCCTTGGATTCGGCCTGAGCCAGCTCCTCCAGGGACTGCTCCAGCAAGTCCGCGAGCCGTTGCAGCACCTGCGAGCGCTCCTGCGGGCTGCGGTTCGCCCAGCCGGGGAATGCAGCTCTGGCGGCCTCCACCGCAGCCTCTACCTTTGAGGAGCAGCAAATGGGGGACGGTCGCTGTAAAACTGTTGCACCCGAGGGGTTGCATGAATCCATACACGCCAATTATGTTTTTCTGCCTAATTTCAAATATCCAACACTTCCCAGTGCTGATTTACCCACAAGGTGGTGTTCATGTGACCAGCAAAGCAGGGGGCACCACAAAAACAGAAAAAAAAAAGCTCCATTTGGACCGATGCAACCAGAATGTGCAGTCAGATAATTAGAAAGCAACTCTTTGAATGGTAACAGATGTACATTTTCAGTCATTTCAAAATACAGATTTTTAAAAATATATGAGAGAAGAAATGAGATGAGTAGAATCCTTAAACTTATTTCAGCTCTGTCATGTCGGGTAAAACTTAAATTTTGTTTGGAATCACTGTTGTGCAACTTGGAATGACCAGCCATATTGGTAATTTACCAGCTACTTTTTATATATGAGGAAATATGCTAAATGGTTTACACAAATTATTTCATTTAACTCCTTTTAAAATTCTGTAACATGAGTATTGCTTTGCACATTTACAGATGAAAAAAATTGAAGCACAAAGATGCTCAAGCAACATGCCAGAGGTCACACAGCCAATAATGGGCAGAAGCAAGACTCAAACTCAGACCTTTGTGACTGCCAAGACCACCAGCTGGCCTGCTCTGGAATAATCACAGTCCCTGCTCCTGGCCCCCTGCCCATCTGTGCCCAATGAGAGAAGTCTCTGTTGGAGAGAAGGGTCTCTGTGGCTGAACAATTAGCCTGGGCACCCGGTTTGAGAGCTATATCTAACAGGAAATAATACACAGGAAGGTATGTGTGAGGTCAGTTCATGCAGGCAGAATAAACTTTCAGATCACCTGCTGCCCTTCTCCTCTCTTAGGCCACGCCAAGCCTTGCCTTTTCTAGAGCTGGCGAATCCACAGGCTGTGTTCCGCCCTCTCCTCTCCCACTGGCACGACGAACATTTACAATCGCAGCCTTTTCCCACCGCTGGGCCACAGGCTCAGCCCCAGAGCCCTTTCCCACAGGCTCTTCAGGCAGCCACAGGCCATTTCCTGCATCACGTGACCTGACAGTGCAGCCCCCAGAGCTTCTGCTGGCCCTCTTATCCAAGATCCCATCTACACTTCTCTCCTGTTCTTTTCATGTGAACAAAGTCACTTTCAGAGAGCTGAAATAAGGCATTCAATGATTCTCGTCTTAATTAGAAATTTCTGGAAAGGTGACGGTTTCATCTCCGAAACTGACTCTCTAATATGGACCTGCAGAGAGGACCAGAGAAGACGAGTGGGCCTTGGTGGTCTCCACCACCAAGCGCAGTGGACTCGTGGACACCCTGTGGCCAGCCAATAGGAGAAGCGTTCTTGCTACAGCAGTCAGAGCAAAAGCCTAATCTTCCAGTTGTCAGTGTAAAAATATAATCTGCCTAGTCATGTAAAGTCTAATCCTTTTGATAAGCAGCAAATTCAGTCCCAGTCATATTTTCTAAATTGTTTTATGTCATGTCTTATGTCCAATTAATATAGAATACAGATTGACCTACTAAACAGTATTATAATATTACATACAAACATATACAATGTCAGCAAAAAAAAAAAATAATAATACTTAGAACACCTCCTACATGCCAGACACTAAGGGTTTTGTGTCACCCAGTCTGTTCGATCCTCAGAACAACACTAGGAAGTAGATGTGATTACCCCCGTTTCCTGCACAAGGAGACCGAGGCACAAAGAAGTTCGGCTCTAGGTCAAGACCACAGACAACTAAGTGGTACAGGTGATCTATTACGCCAGGCTGTTGGACCCTCGTCTGTGCTTTTGACTGCAAAGCTCTAATGCAAGTGCTACCTGACCACGTGTGTGTGTGTGTGTGTGTGTGTGTGAGAGAGAGAGAGAGAGAGAGACAGAGAGAGAGAGAGAGAGAGAGAGAGGGAGAGACACCACTGGTCAAAGCCTGAGCGTGGGAAATCAGAGTGTTGGCACACCATCCTCTGTAAAATAAGGATGATGGCAGAGTTTAATTTGTAGGTTACCACTCATATCTGGGACAATGTATACTAAGGGAGCTTAGTGTGTGCGAAGCAAATAACAAAAACTGAATGAATGGGATCCACTCATTCAGTGTGAGCAGCACCGGTGGCACTTTCTGTGAGTGCATTTTAGGGAAATTGGGCAAGTAGTTTGCAAAGTGACCATATTTCTCAAGCCAGGAAAAAAATGGGACTTATGGGATCAAATAGAATATTTGCAAGTTACATAGCGAGGAAATCCAAAACATTTAATCCTCTACTAGCAGGTACATCCAGAACTCAAAAATGCACATGCCATTCACTACAGAAAATATTTCAACTGAAGTTGCCGTATTTTTCATTTTTAACTTCACTTTGGGAAACATTCTGAGATAAGGAGGGCTGGAAAACAGGGAGATGGATTTCCCACATCTATCCAGTGTTGTCTTAAACAAACAAAAGTGTGGGTACAGTTTAACCAACACGAGCCAATATTTACAACCTTTAATTTACAAGGCAAAGTTCTTTTTCATGCAAAACAGATTTAAAATATTTACACAGAAAAATAAGCTACTTCTCCCCGTCAAAACTTGCACATTGTACTTCATGACCTATTAAGGCTACAATTACCTTACATAATCCAGCTCCTTGTACTTTAAAAAAATCACTGAAAACCCATTAGGCATGAGGTGACCTCACACACATCAGCCACATGTGTCAGCCCAGACAGGTCTTCGTTCTCAGCGTGGTAACTGATAACTAACAAAGTGTATTTCAACTATTTTACAAAATTCTTCAAATAAAATTAAGTCCGTGTCACTAAAAATGTTTAATGTATGTGACACTAAGCACTCATTGGGTAAGAAAAAGGATGCTGCTAAATTTAACTCTAAAACTATATGAAAAACTATTTGATTTGAATTTCGCCACGGAATGATCATTTTTATTGTAGTAGGTATTTTGAAAAAGTGAAGAATTAGAGGATTATTAGAGGATAATATAGAATAAATGCCTGGGGTTTTTCATTTTAGGTTGTAATAAAGTAGCATGTTGTTTTAGAAATCCATGGATATAATGGCAAGTTTAGGCAACATTGGTAGAGAAGAGGGAGCACTAATAATTCTTATGAATAATACATTTTCCTAGATGCCAATTAAGAAATGTCTGAGAATTGTGCCTGTGTCTTAGGTTGCCTAGATTAATGACTTGCTTCTACAAATAATTACCTGAGATTTGTTCATTGTATCTATCTGTCCAATTACAAAGTGCACTTTCCTAAAATCTGCCTTCTGCTAATATGTAACAAGCCTACACTTTTTCCCAGCCCCACCTTGCTTCTAGAAAATTAAGTGACAAATAATAATTCACCAACGTCTGAAGGCCATTCCGGCCTTCTGTACATGAAGAACACTCACCTCTTCTTTCCCACTGTTTGGCACTTGGCAGTACACCTCCCCTGTGGATGGGTCGTAAGAGTCTATATATGAGCTACAGGGCAAAAATTTCCCCCCTATGAAGTTCTCCAACATCAAAAGTGCCGTTGTTCCAGCCATAGCAAGAAAACTCCTGACAAACTCCTGACGTGTTCCTCAACAGCTGTTCACTTAGGTGATCCCTACTGTTCCCCTACTCCTGAGCGAGTCTCCTCCTCATTTCCAGCCCCAATGCCTTCATTTGCCAGTCAGTGAAAGGGGGAGGTGGCCTGACACTCAGAGAGCATTCCAGGCTCCAGACTCGGAGTGGAGTTCTCAAGCGTGGCACAGACTTCGAGTACATTATGAGAAATGGACAATATGTTAAACTCGTATCAGCTTACACGTTCACGGTCCTTTAGAATGCTTAGAAGGCATCCTGGCTGGTGTGGTTCTGTGGACTGAGCGCTGGCCTGTGAGCAAAAGGGTCACCTTTTCAATTCCCAGTCAGAGCAGAAGCCTGGGTTGTGGGCCAGGTCCCCAGCTCGGGGCATGCAAGGGGCAATCGATCTATGTATCTCTCCTGTTTCTCTCTCTCTTTTTCCTTCCCTTCCCCTCTCTCTAAAAGTAAATAAAATCTTTTAAAAAAATAAATAAAAATAAAATTCTTAGAAGGCTTGTGTGTGTGTCATCTTATTGGGCTCACACTGTTAAATGTACATGGCTCAAAGGTTGATTGAGCGCCAGGCCCTGAAGCAAGTCCTTTCCGTGTCTTTACTCATCTATTCCACACGATACTCTTCCATAAAGCAAGTGCTATTACCTCCCCAATTTTGCAGAAGAAACTGAGCCTCAGAGAGGTTAATTTGTCCATGATTGCATCATAGTCAGTCAGGGATGAACTTCCGTCCTTTCGTCTCTAAACAAGTACTTTTTCTTCAACGCATTTCTGCCCACACCCTGCAGGGGTGAATGGGGACAGACCCTCTTTCCCACAGCCCACCGGCTGCTCTGCCTTGGCTGCCTTCTCTCCAAAGGACCTCTCCATCTGGGACACAGGGCTGCTGAGGCAGCCCCACCTTCCTGGATGTACCGTGGAGACAAAGATACAAACTGCAAATATGTGTGAGATTCAACACACACAAGATTCACACCCATCAGGCATGTAAGAATTTCTACAACTTGGCAAGAGAAATGAACAACCCAACAGAAAACAGTAAGCTCTGGACCCCCCAGGTGGACAGTTGTATCTTTTCTAGGTTTTTTAGTTAAATGTTTAGATAACTTATTTTAATATGTGTTGATAAAAAAAAACATTTAAGGCTATACTAGTTCTACTTATACTAGTTATATTATATGTGTGTTAAATATTACATTACATATTTGTTCATATATACATTTGTCCCTAATTCTTTTTTTAGTTGTAACAAATCTGTTTAATTGAAATACCAGTTTTTAGTTTCACTTTTATATTTTTAAGACTTATATTTGGTTCATTTTAAACTTCTGTGGTCATTTTTTATAGTCTGTTCTTGCTTATCCATATTTCCACCTTTGCTTATTAAATATTAAAGATGTAAACATTTCCCCCAGCCACTTTATATTCCATAACCAACACCTCCACCATCTGCAGCACAGGAAGGGAAGCTTCATCTGGTTGAGACATTCCAAAGCTGAAAGGTAACTCCACTCTATGGTCTGATCCACTGAGTTGCCTTCACAACGCAGCTCTCCAAGAGCAGTCTTGTTTACCTCAGTGTCAAGTTCTCGAGGGAAACATGACTTACAACTGTATTCTCTTCGCATATATGTTCCTCCTTTCTACTCTGTTACGTTACTCAAGTCCTCTATGCCTTCTTTGTTTCCATGATCCATAAGGCAGTACTGTTGAGACTCCCTTAGTAATTGTATGTATATTCTTTTTGAAATTCCTAGTAAATTTTCATTATGCATTTTAATGCTATTTGGTACTAAGTTTTATTTTTGCACTCACGATCGTACCTCTTATCGATACGGTTCTCATGATCATAGTCAAGGTTGTTTTGTTTGCTGGCTTTAAATTCCTAGTCCAGCATGAATGGTCATTCCAGTTTCCAGAGAAGCAGTGTAGCTCCGTGAACATGCCTTCCAGTCAGACCTAAATGCAAATTGAAGTCATGGGTCTGTAATTCATTTATTGGTTTTATTAATCTCACTGAACTTGATTTCTTATCTGTAGGCTGAAGTTAATAATGTCTGCCTCCTATAATTATAAAAATGTGGTATTGAACAAACTATTGTGTGAAAACTGCCCAGCCCACGGCAGACACCCAACCGGTGGTATTTTTACTTCCCTGACACATTTATGCCTTTTTCCCGGCAATCTCTGGTTTTATTTTAGGTATATCTTTTGCAAATAGCACACATCACCTGTCCAATTTGAGTTTGTCTTTTTCATGTTCCCATGTTTGAGGCATAATTTAATTGACCTGTTTCATTATTTTGTTTTATACTATTCATTTACTTCTGCACATTTAAGTGTTTTCAATGTGAGAGCGCAAAGGGGCCTTCTGGGGACTAGAAGCTCGCCTGGCACTTGCAGCCGGGCCACAACGCTCTCCTACTAAACATTAACAATGCCCAGATCCCTGCTCTGTGATCCGGATGAACCTGGACCGAAAGTCAACGTGCAAACAAACAAACAAAAAAAAATGACTAGGTAGCTCCCTCTTGTGGCCGGCACCAGCAACTACTGCGGCTTGTTTTACCTTGTCCCATTTCTATTCTACCTCCTAGATAAAAACCTCAAACCCAATTGCGGAATTACTCCCACCTCCTGACAGCATCCAATCCAGAAGACACCCTCGCTCACTTGTGCCCTCCTGAAAATTACCTACACGTGCTCAACTTCTTCAACAAATCCCTCCTTACACCTTCTCACTGAGAAGCACCAAGATGTGTGGTCTCTGTTGCTGCAACAGGCCTCAGTAAACATAATCTTGACTACAGTTGTGCCTTAGTGGTCTTCGACTAATGGCATCAACAAATGACATGCTTGCTGCAGAATTTCTACCATGACCCTCCCCACCCAATCTTAAAGCTTTGAACTATCTGTTTGTGATGAACATTTTAAATTCTGCCTCCCTACTCCCTTCTCTCTCCCAGGGCATCTTCTGAGACCTTCTTACCTTCACCTACGCACAATGCCACGGCTGAGTAACGAATTTGTAGGTTACAACCCTTCTAACTTGAAGTCCTACACCTTTAGCTCCTATACCCCTTTGTGTTTTGGAACTCCGTGCTGCAAAACAGACCGAGGCTAATGTCTTGTTTCCTTGAAGATAACGTTTTGGGGTTTGTTTTGTTCCCAAGCTTTGTTTTAATCTTAAATTTTTAAACGTTTTAACAGAAAGCGTGGCTATAATCCCTTTGTGGTGTTTTGCATCAAATACAGTGCCCTCTCTTCCTGTGCAATCCCAGGGTCTTCCAGTTCGTTTTCAGCTATCTGAATTCTAGGGGTGGCTCCCAAGGACAACTTCCATGTCATCAATTACGATTCCCGAGATTATTATTTTTTTACAGTGTTCAATGAATATTTGAATTTTCCTCTTATGAGTTAGGTTCTTATGTACTCATTTCTAACGTAAACTGATTCTTTTCTCCACTCTGAAACCCTATTTAACACTTAACAGACACCACGCAGCAGTTAAAGAAAACTTTGTTTCCTGCCATGCACATGAAAGATTTTTGCTGCCACATGTTGAAAAAACTACTCATGCACTGCAGGTGTTTCCACAGGCCTGCTGCTGTATTTTAAAATCATCTTTAAATTAAAATATATCCAAGTCCAATGTTGAAAAGTAGGAATGTAGCAATTACCTTCAGCCACCTCCCAGTCCCCTTGAGGGCCAGCAGGAACCCTGGCGGCCAGCCAGTTGGCTGCAGTTTCCCTTTCCACACTACAAGCACACTTGGATCTTCAGGCGCAAGGGGCTCACCCCAGGTCAGGAGAGACTCCACACGGGGACCCTGGCTCACCGACAAGAGGACAGCCAGCAGCAGTTCTCAGGTTTGCTTATAACAAGTTTGTTTGTTTTTTTCCTTCACTATAGAAACAGCCCCTTCACATGCAGCATTGTAATGGAATAATTTGTAACCTTCAGAAATACAGACAGAACTTAAACCATCCCGCACTAATTCTTTCCTTCATTTAACAGTCAGATGCACTAGGGACTAATTTCTGAATTGGGAGGAGAGAGGTTGTGATCATAGGTTGAGCTACTTGGACTCAAAAGTTATCTTTTCTGTAAGTAAAATTTTACTTCAGGAGTAATACTCCCCCCCCCCCACACCTAGTCCCTTCTGCATTGTCCTTAGAATGCATTCTTCCTACATGTTTTGTGCTATTAATTCTCACTTGTAGTTTACGGAACTGAAACCGCCCCTGGCTGGACTGTCAGCCCTATGAAGACCCGACTTCCAGGGCTCTCTCCTGTGCCTGGAATAGGGCGGTTCATGTTTAGGGAGAAAGGAATGTTTCTCTATTCATGTATTTCCATGGCTATTGTAGAAGGAAATTGGAGGATGATGACCCAACAGTTTTTACTGGGCCTTCTTTTCTAAAAGTATTTTTTATTTATTCATGATCTTGACTGACTCCTATTCCTTAAGGCCTGTAATTTTATGTTTTATTTACATGATTTTAAAAAACTACTAATATTCCATTGAAAAATCTAGACTACCTTAAAACAAAAAGATATTAACTAATGATCACAACTATGTAAAAAAATAAATTAAATATGCACTGGAGAGGGAGAAAGGAAATACACCAAAATGTTAGCAGCAGTAGTATTTAGCCAATGGAACTATGGGTGACTTTTTTACACTTCCCTCTACTTTTCTGTATTTTCCAAATTTTCTGAAGTCACCCCTGCCTTCAACAACAACCAACTGTAAACATAATGTGCACAAAGAGACTGTACTTTAGCCTGGAACAGTGTGGTGTAGTTGGTAGGGCACTGTCCTGCAAAGTGCTGGGTCCTGAGTTTGATTCCCGATCAGGGCACATGCCTGGCTTGAGGATTTGATTCCCATTTGGGGCACGTACAAGAGGCAACCAGTTGATGTTTCTCCCTCACGTTGATGTTTCACTCCCTCTCCTCCCTCCCCTCCTCTCTCTCTGAAAATAAATTAAATCTTTTTTAAAAAAGGACTGTACTTTATCACAATTTGAGGAACTAATCCATCTCTATGATTGTTATGTACTTTATGCTAAATTCTTACTTATAATCCTTAATTATATCATGGCCTTGTAGAGTAGATTTTTCTTGTTTCTGCCGCCACCCTCACAACCCACTTCCCTTCCTCATAGTGCCCTGACCTGCTGGCCCTCCCACAATCCTCAGCCAGGTGCTCTGAGCAACGCTCACTTCACATCACACCCCAGGAATGCCCCAAGGAAGTAAATCAAACTCAATCGTAGTCAGTGATACCATGTTTGTAAGGTATCTAGGAAAAGACATGCTCTTTTCACCTGTCCTCGCCCTGGATGAGGGTCTGAGGATCTAAATGCAGAACCTCAGGGGGCTCTGTACGGAGCCCGGAGGCAACCCCCACACCAGCGACGGCAGTGTGCCCAGGAGGCCTCGCTGACACAGCGAACGGCTCCGTCCAGACTGACCCAAAGCCGGGGCCACCGCTCCTCTTTCTTTGTTGCTTAAGTCACTTCAAATTAGGTTCCTATTAAATTCCCAATGAATACAAAATAGAAACAAAACACTGTACCTTAGCAAGGTCACTCTACAGTGACAACTGCATAAATACTCCTTAGCAAAGAAATGTATTATATGGGTATGTTCCCTTTGTGATCGCTCACCAAGCAGCGCGTTTATGCTCTGTGCACTTTACCATGGAAGACATTCTTCAGTTAAGAAGAAAAAATGCTGCTGTCTATGGCAGCCATCAATACACAAATCGCACTGCTTCCCAGCTGTGAAAGTTTGGCATATGGTCCCTCAGATCAGAAGTCCGGGCTCAGCTGAGGACAAACCTACCCTAAAGCAGCCTGCACCCGGGGCGGCCCGACAGTACCTGCCATCTAAATATACCTTGGAGTTTGTTGTTAAAGCTTTAAGAAAAACGCAACTCTTCCTCATAGCTGTGTCAGGTAAAAACAGCATCATTGTACATGCAGTTCTCAAAGTAAGAATGGGAAAAGTGAAGTTATGATGGGAAATAAATGAGACGCAATTTGATCCGCTATCAAGATAAAAAGCAAGAAATCACGTGAAAGCGCCCGGGAAACTCTTAGGTGAACAAGATCCCATAAAACCCCAAAGTCACATTTAGCGATAGTGCAGAGAATCTTGTACACATGTATGAAACAAAACACATTTTGCTGTTATGCTCAAAGACATTTTATTAGTTGGTTTTACACCTTAAATAATACCTTGAATAACAAAGAAAGAGTGTCCACTAATTCCAACCTAATCTTTCAAAAGTTTACTTGTTGGAGGAAGAACATTTTTATGCTCAACACAAAATACCTTTATTATAATCTTCAGCAAATCTTAGAGTTAACCAAAAAAAAAATTGTGGTGGTCAAATATTAACTACCTCAACCACTCAATTTAGTATTTTTCCTTAAGATGTATCCAGTAGAGTTGAAAACCAGGAGAAAACTGTAAACATTCTGTGGTTTGGCTAGAAGTTCATTTCATGATGAGCCACCGTCTTCCAATGTACATTCCCGATGGTTTCCATAAATCTCAGCAGAGTAATCCATTCACTAACATTTCGAAGGGAAAGCTGGTTTTTAAAACCACCTTGGCAACTTGAAATTCTTGTGGTAGTGACAATTAATACTTCTTTGCAGCTGGTTACAGCTTTAATTTTCTCTCATTTAAAAAAACATCAACTGCACATTTTTCCTTAATTGTATAACTGGATTCTTTAAAAACAGAGGTGAGTTATTTCCTTGCACTTGGAAACATGGTAGAAATTCTGACCCTTCATTCTTTTATCTGTAAAGGAGAAAAACATATTTGCTAAAATTTAATGCTTCACATTAAAAGAACAAACTACAAAAGGCAAATGGCAGTAAAATCATTATATCAAAATGAAACTTTTTTCCTCGTCACTTTTCCCTTCCTTAGTCATACTATTTCTGAGATTAACGATAATCTCTCCATTATCTTCCATAAGAAACTGTATCTTATTTTCAGAATGCTCTTTTATAAAAAATGCTTTGGCAGATTAAATGCGATAGTGATGGCAGCGATATCACACAGCATTAGCTGAACGCTGTTTAAGTGCCAATCGGTCCGCCAAGTCTTTGTGTGACCGCGGCGGTTCAGGGCAGATCCCTCCGCTCCCGCCCAGAGAAGAACGAGCAGGGGAGTAGGGTCGGGGAGAGGCTCCTGTGCCGCTCCGAGCCACCGGAGCGCGGCGCAGGCCAGGCAGGCTGCCCCCGGGGCCTGTTCCGTGCCCACCTATGGCTGGGCTTCGATGCAAACGAAAGCCCTATGTTCAAAGTGTACATCCAGTTAAATGGCTTCAATAAGTTTTATGCAAAAATAATTACATAAATGAAAAAATCTCCCCTTAAAATACAATATTCATAAGATTTATGTCAATCATAATAATGTAGAAAAAATTTAAATTACTGAAATTTTCTGGTCCATTTCTGGTTATTTTCTCCAAAAGCTAACTGCACCTCACATAACAGGTTTGTTTCAGAAACAGGACTAATATGTTAACTGAACTTTTTGAACAAACCATTTCAAATGCCCTGAAAACCAGTAATCCAAGGAAAAAATTTTAACAAGTACTCCTCTGTTAAACAAAACTACTACCCCCAGGTCACTGGGCCCTGAGAGTGGGACCCCTCACGGTCTGCGCTGCAGGCGCCCAGGCTTTTCGGTGGACCCCCTCCACGTGGGGCACGCCGCCTGGAGGGGGGTGGGGGGGGGAGACAGTCTGCACTCTCACTGGGAGGAGCTCCAAGACCGGACATTTTCTTCCCCTCTCTCTTTTCAATTTTTTAATATAGATTTTACAATTTATTGTTCTAATACCGTAACTGTGTTCCCATTAGGCCACGAAATCTCAGTAACCACCGCACAAAGTGGAAAAGGACAGACACCACGACCGAGGACAGCCCAGCGGCCGCTGTGAGGTACCTCCGTGACGACGCCGGCGGCCACCGTGGAGCCGCTGTAGCGCAGCATGAACCTCCCCAGCTCCTTGAAGTCTTTGTACAGCTCCAGCGCGACTGGTCTCTGCGTCTGCAGCTCCACCAGCGCGTTCTGGCCTTTAGTCAGCAATCTGTCGAGAAAAAAGAAAGGAACCAATGAATATCCAGCAGACGTGAAGAAATGTAGTTAACAACCTGAAAAATAAACATTATACAATGATCAAAGCAACTCAGTCTTTCAAAAATTTAAAAAGAAAAAAAATGCATCTTAAAATGAAAATATGTCCTTTGAATTTTTCTGGGTTAGTAAAAAAAACAAATTCTAGATTTAAGAAATACTAGCTAGTTCACTTATATACATATTTTAAGGAATATCAGCTAGTTCGTCTCTATATACACATATATTACATATACATACATATACACATATGTACACACATGTGTGATATATATTACATGCACACACATAATGGCAGTAAAATCACTACGGCAAGATGAAATCTTTCAAATGTAACTCTCTCCTCTGAAGGATACTATAAACCTGAACTACGCTCAAGGCCCTTCCACCAAAGCCTTCCCTGTCGTTCCCTCAACAAGATTGAGAGGTGCAATTACCTAATAAAGAAGAGAGGCACCTGCACTTTCAGAGGGGAATGCAACGCCCTCTGTCTTCCCTACTTAAACTCTGATTGGTGGGTTATGCGTCAGGAAGTTATCTATAAAGAGGATAGTTTTCTAGTGCCAGCAGACTACTCTGTATCTCCCTCCCTCCCTCCCCTCTTTTCTCCCACGGAAACAGTGGTTCTCTAACAGAGCTTCGGGACAAAATCACGTAAGGTTTCCTCACACTGTGATGTGTGTGGGAAACGAAGGGGGGTGGGGCCTGGACCTGACGGTGAACGGGTGAGACAGACAAGCAGACAAACGGCCACCCTCGTGCATGGACACTGCACCCGCACTTACTGAAAGAAGCAGAACGCTACAGGGGACATTTTGAAATTGTTTTCCAATTCAGTCTTGACGTGCTCTAGAAGGTCAGAGCACAGCAATCGTAAACTCACCTTCTGAAAAACTAGTTCAAGGACAGACTGACAGAATGAGCCAAGCAAGTTTCTAAAAACGTATTGCCAAATTTCCCAATACTGGTTTTAGACAATTTCAGCCTAAAGTCTCATTCCGTAGGAAAGAAAGGATCTAATCTACTTATGAGTTGCACTTAGTTTCTAGAAAGGTCGATTCCACTCCATATAAAGCAACTGAGTCTACAAAGTGCCTTTAGTGGACACGAAAAGAAAAGGCCAAATGGCATTGGTACCAAAGAAGAGGAAAGGACTGTGTTATAAATAAGATGTCAGGAAAAACTAGCATGAGAATATATTAAGGCCTAACATCACTGAGCTAGGACTTTATAGCAGGAAGGGGAAAGTCAGGATTCAATCTGATAAGTCAATTTCAGATTGAGAATTCTCCAAATCATTTGCCTGGGTCAAACAAACTGGCTCCTGTCAAAAAACATACAGTTTATGTGAACCAACCGACTGTGCTAGAACCCTGGCTCTGCTACTTGCTAGCTCTGAGACCATGAGCATGTGATATAACCTCCGAGCCTCAGTTTCCTCATCTGAAAAATGGGGAAAATATAGTCCCTGCTTCACACGGTGCCTGAGAACATAAACCAGGTGAAGCACTCATGACAGAGCCTAGAATACAGTGGCTCTCAAGCAACGTCAGCCACTAGTGATGCCACGTCTGAGAACACTATGGCAGACACTCGTGCTAGAAGCCGAAGGCTGAGGTTAAAAATAAAGAACTATCTTCAAGAGATTAAGTAGCTCTTTCTTCATAACTAACAGAGAAACAGCCACGCATTTAGAGCACGGTGAAGATTCTCTCTCCCAATTGTGGCCAACCCATGAACCCACTAACCACCTTTGCCTCTGACACAGGTGCGTCTGAGGAGGGACACTCAAGGACTGAAAAAAGGGGATTTTGGGTGGGATTCCCCACAGAGCTGAAGTGAGGAAAACCCCAAAGCTGAAGCAGCCAGGCCCAACTGTGGTTAGCCTGTACTTGAACTAGGGTAAGAAACTCAAGTATCTCAGGAAGCACTTCCTTTGAAAAATTCTCACCTTGTCCCCAGCCAAAGGGGAACGGCCAAACCTAGGCCTAGATATTCACGGTGAGCAGAGGGGACCGCCATGGTGGCGACTGGCTCAGCGTGAGGTCCCAGGCGGCCACTGAGCAGAAGGGAGATGCTCTGCAGGGAAAACACCAGGAGCTGCAGAGTGGGGCGCTCGCTCTCTCCCTGGGCTGCTCGGGGCACGGGGAATGGCTCGCGTTCAGGAGATGACGAGACTATTAGGCGGAGCACTCTGCTGGGATTTGGAACCAGTGGCAGGCACAGTGAAATTCATCTTTTAAAATGAACGGAGAGCTGATTTTTAAGTGCCTTTATGTTTACACCACTTGATATATACACACACATTTATACTTCCATTTTATTTACAAGTCACACCCCCCCACCACTACCATACAGAACAGAAATTGAATCCAGCATGCATACCTATGTAGGACCCTGAATCTTCAGTTTTGTGTCTGTTTTAATCTAGCCCTTGAAAAATGATTTCTGGAGCAAGTAGAAATAGACTTCACTTACTACTGCCCCCCAAAATATTACACAAATAAATTAAACTGCAAGAAATTTGTATAAATTACTTGTGTTTGTTATGTACGCATTAAAACACTTACTTGGGCTTCTTCTTGGTGACTTCGCCGGTGCTTTTGTTTAAAACGCTCACCAGTCGTTTGATGACCGCAGGCTCACTGACAGTTTGGTAGTATAACAGCACCTGAAACAACAACTGCCGGGCTGAGCGGACTGCAGACCGTGGGTTTGCGGGCCTGGAGCCCGCCCGCTCACATGGCACTGCAGTGAGCCAGCACTACTGCCGGACTCGCCCAGGCCCCCTGCCTCCGCTGCGTCCCACCACTCGCCTCACCACTTGAACCGGGCTGTTGTCCCTTCACCCGGAGGGGCAGTCCCAGTACCTCCTCCCCCACTTACTGTGTACACTTTAGTGCACTGCATACCCTTCCATGGGGTGGTGATGAGAACTAAGTAGAGTCAGAGACAGTGCCTGGTACAGAAGATGTTCAACAAATGCGAACTGCTTCATCATAAAAAGGAGGGAAGGGAAATTGTGATATTTGGCAGGAATTAGTATATTCATTTTTGGATAATGAGAATCACATAGGAGTTTAGACAGGCTTTGAAGCCAGACAGACCTGAGTTCAAATCCTGACTCTACACTTTCCAGCTCTATAATTTGGGGGCAAGCCTTTTACCCCCAGTGCCCCCAGCCTGAGGATCCTCATTATTAAAATGAGGAAAATCAGATGTCACTTTAAACTGGTGCCTAGCCACTTTAACATGGTAACATTCAGTTAATTGATGGCCTTATATATTAGCTGTTATTGTTCATGTTTTGTATTTAAGAAAAAATCTAATATCGAGAGAGCTAAGTAGCAATGTGGTTGTGGCGAAATGTGTCACAGACAAATTTTTGCTGGGGCCAGCTGGAGTCAGAGTAAGACCGACTGTCCTCCGTTCACACAGTAAGGATCGAGTGTGCACCCAGTCTACAGTTTGGGTTAGAGGGAAGACCAAATACCCAGGAAGTGGCAAAGGTATCGATATGTGATTGGTTTGTGAATACCCTTTTATGCTGTTTTCCTGAGAAACACTGACACTTCTCTGAAATTTCCTGGCTAGAATCGTTTTCACATTCAGAAAGCAGAAATAAGTACAAAAGGAACTTGTGAATGCACATTCTTGGATTTAGGAACTTTCTAAAAGCTGAGTCACTCAGTCAGCACTTTGTTGACTAGTTCTGTCTGCCTCTCTCCTGCATCAGTGACAAATGCAGTCCAGGACAATCACTCTCATCTGAATTACAGCAGGCTCCTTGCTGGTCTCTCTGCCACCACTAGCGTCCTTGTTTACCTCATTCCTCATGTTTAGGAGCCTGATCTTTTAAACACAAATGTAATGGTATGTCCTTGCTATTTAAAACCATAGAAACTTTAATTCTACTACAAGGCATCAAGGCCCTTTTCAATCTGACCCTTGCTAACCTCACCAGCCTCATCTTTCTCCATCCTCTCTTCCATTCTGTGCTCCAAAGATGCAGACCTTTCATTGCCTTCATGCACTAAGCCCTTTCTAACAGTTAAGCCACAGTCTCCCTGCCCTGCAGCCTCACTCAGCTAACTCCTACTCATCCTGGTACCAACAGTGTATCGCTTCCCGCAAGAAGCCTGAACCCCCGTCTGAGCTAGCTATCCTTCCTCTACGTCCTACAATCTCGTACACAATGTGACACTATGTAACACCTCACCTTGACTGTAACTGCTAATTTGAATGTCTGTCATCCCATGCAAATATGAACTCTGTGAGAAAAGGAAGTATGTACACCAGAGCTAGACATTTAATTGGCTTCAGTAAATATCTATGAAATGAATGTAAGAATGAAGGAACGAAGAACACCTGAAACACATGGAGAAAATCCATCGTGTGGGTTTGGTTTGTTTTTTTAAAGGCACAACTGAACCTCCATGATTCTACAAAGGCAAATTAGTTTTTTTTCTCCCCAATGGTATTTGACCACTATACATTGGAAAAATCCCAGAAAAAATTAACCACCGGCTCTTAAGGGGAAAAACACTCCCACAAGGCACGCTAAGGAGCGTGGTGAGAGCCGTGTCTGTGCCTTCTGTGGAGTCAGGTATCAAACAGCACCCACGCAACCCACACGCTGGTCAGCATAACTAACAAGCATTTCTTTTATAACAATCAGGTAAACAAACAGGATTCTCCTTCCCTGCGCTCAGATGTAATTAAGAATCGGTATTCATGGTTTGCCAAATTTCAAAAAAACCGAGGCACGTAAACTTCAATTCCTTCTAACCTTGAACTACGTTAGAGTTACAGCAGGGGCTCCCAACCCCCAGGCCACAGACGGGTACAGTCTATGGTGGCCTGCTAGGAGCCAGGACCCACAGCAGGAGGTGAAGCTTCACCTGTTACTTATTTACAGGGGCTCCCCATGGCTCCTGTTACTGCCTGAGCTCCGCCTCCTCTCAGATCAGCGGGGGTTTAGATTCTCACAGGAGACAAACCCTACTGTGAGCAGCACATGGAAGGGATCTAGGCTGCGTGTTCCTTGTGAGAATCCAATGCCTGATGACCTGAGGTGGCGCTGAGGCGGTGACCCTAGCGCT